TGAGGGAAAGAGGAGGAAGGAGGGAGGAGGAGAAGGGAGGGAGGGAGGGTGAGGACCCACAGTAGACCATCCAGTACCTAGTTTGCACACACGGTAAACCATCAGTAGGAGGCAAGAGAGGGACGGAGAAGAGAGAAGAAGGAGAAGAGAGATGAAGGAGAAGAGAGATGAGGTAAAGCCTTCTTCATTTTACTTCCTGCTACGGTCACCCCCACGCATCCCTCCCCCCTCTCCCGCATCCCTCACCACCCCTCCCCTGCACTCCTCCCCCGCATCCCTCTCCACCCCTCCCCCCAGCATCCCTCCCCTGCACTCCTCCCCCTCCCCACAGCATCCCTCCCCGCTCACCTGCACCCATCACCACGCATCTCTCCCCCACTCCTAGCATCTCCCCCACATCTCCCCCCTCCCCCAACATCTCCCCCTCCCCCACATCCCCCCCCCCCACGCTCACCTGTGAGGCGTTTCTTGATAGTGATCCGGCAGCGCGCCTGGTTGGTGATGAGGCGCAGCGGCGTCGTCGTGGCGTCGCCCGCGGCGACCGACGTCGCCTCGATGCGCAGCGTCTGCCAGTCCATCTCCTTGAAGGTGAGCACTTCCCCTCTCGTCGCGTCGCGTACGCGCGTCATGCGCAGGTCTGCCGTCTGCCACTGCGGCGACACGCTGCGCACCTGCACCCGCGACAGCTGCAGCGAGACAGATAGAGAGTGAGGGAGAGGAGGAGGGAGAGAGAGGAAGGAGAGGGAAGAGAGGAAGATGAGGGGAAATGCGCAGGTCGGTCGGCTGCCACTGCGGTGACACGCTGCGCACCTGCACCCGCGACAGCTGCAGCAAGACAGATAGAGAGTGAGGGAGAGGAGAAGGGGAGGGAGAGGGAGGAGGGAGAGGGAGGAGAGAGAGGGAGGAGAGGAAGAGGAGGGGTCATGCGCAGGTCGGCCGGCTGCCACTGCGGTGACACGCTGCGCACCTGCACCCGCGAAAGCTGCAGCAAGACAGATAGAGAGTGAGGGAGAGGGAGGAGAGAGGGGAGGAGGGAGAGGGAGGAGAG